ATTTTCTTCCCTGACAAAAGTTGACCTTCTTCGTCATATGCTGGCATGGTTTGAGACTTCACTATGGTTCCTGGGATAAATCGCTTCATTGCTTGTAGCAAATGTGGTAGCTCATTGTACGATGTATCTCAATCTCCATACGTCAGCTTCATTACCTTCATCTTCGCATTCCATACCTTTTCAACCATCGCCTTCACGTATTCACATATTACATCAGAGTCCAATAGTCGGTGGTCTTGTTCGATGGAGTTTCGCAAACATGTGTGCGGACCATTGTACCTCGTGATGACCCAAACATCGTGCCTTTGATTTTTCGACACTCTGATCTTCCACTTGCACTCTAGGCCATATTTTACACACCTCACGTATAGGGTTTTTTGGTTGGACTTTGCAACATGGACATCAACATGGAATTTGATGCAGTATTCTTTAATCGCCAGCGCAGCTTCATTTTTTCCGCTGAATTACACCCCAACTGAAAATTCACCAGAATTATCAAATAATTTAGTCATTTGGTGCAGAGGTAAATGTGGCATGTCTGGGAATTCAGGTGCCCTCATCGCATCATAATCTATCTCGTACATGTGAGGAGTAGCTTCATACGGTGCCAGAACTTCATCAATTGCACCTCCACCGAAAATATTTTCATCCTCGCCCAAAACGGGTTCTTCAGTTTCTTCATCTTCGCTTGAATAATCATGAATTTCTCCCCATCGATTTTCAGCATCAATAGCAACAGCCAATTCCGGTATGTTTCTCGTCTCATACTCTGCTACTGCAGATGTCCCTCCGACTTCATTTACACTTTCCAATAGTGCCATAAAACTGTTCAGGAACATGTATGTCGGCTCCTCAAACTGACTATATAAAGCCATTTCAGATGGATTTTGAGCCACACCTCTTAATGACCCAGGAACATCACATATGTTACGCATATCAACAAATAACTCAATAACTGCAATATTGGTTGACTCATGTAATCCAACCATGGTTTCAATATCATCTTCTTCTTCAAGTGGAACTGCAGCATATCTGACTGGGTTGGGGCATATCATAAACCTATACCTCAAACCATCAACTACAGCTCGAATTTTTTTTTTCTATCTTATGCTTCATTTCTATAAATGTGATGTCTTTTTTGAACATCATATTTATTGGTTTTTCAGACTGAAAAATTACTCCGACCTCATTTTCCATAATCTGTCTATTATAATGGACAATCGTGAAAAAGTTGTTGCTTATTTTCTCTACAAATAAAAAAATAAATAAATTTAGATTAAAAAATTAGATAAGATAATTTCATAAATCGTTAAATAATTAAATATAATATAATATACTATTATATTATATTAACGATCAAATAAAATTTTTTATTTAACTTGATTGATTGATTACTAATATTACTAATAATGATTTAATAATTATTATTAATCTAATGATTTGATATTTAATGATTTAATAATAATATGATTTAGTCATGATTATTAATAATTATTTATTATAAATATTTAATGATTTAGATTTGATACTAATCATTTAGTAATGATTACTAATAAAAATGATTAGTTTGATAATATTTTTTATTTTTAAAAATATCAAACAAATTTATTAGGCAAAACTGTCGAGATAATGTTCTCGAAATAATTATTTCACGAGATAATGCGTTGGCCGGATTATTTCATTCAATTAATTTTTACTCCTTACTAATTTACACATATAATATAAATTAAATAATTATTTATTATAAATATTTAATGATTTAGATTTGATACTAATCATTTAGTAATGATTACTAATAAAAATGATTAGTTTGATAATATTTTTTATTTTTAAAAATATCAAACAAATTTATTAGGCAAAACTGTCGAGATAATGTTCTCAAAATAATTATTTCACTAGATAATGCGTTGGCCGGATTATTTCATTCAATTAATTTTTACTCCTTACTAATTTACACATATAATATAAATTAAACAAAATATTTTTTTAAAACAACACTAAATATTTTTAAACACAATATTTTTTTAAACGGAAATTATCTCGCACAAATTATTTTATATAATCTAATATAAACTTACTAACTAACTAACTTACACATACACAACAACAAAAAATGGACAACAAAAAATAATAAATTATCCGCGTATTTATGTTTTCTTCCTTTCCTTTCTTGTTTCTTTCTTCGAATCAATCTGCACGTGGGCAAATGTTGTAGAATAATGCCCTGTATGTGTAAACAAAATATTTCTTTAAACAACAATAAATTAAAAAAATTAATTTTATATAATATAATATATTATAATATAACTTAAACTAATAAACTATTTCTTTATTATAATATAACTTAGTTAAAATAACAACCTAACAAACTAATTAAGCACTAATTATTATTTTTATAATATAACTTCAACTTCAACAAACAACCTAAACCCTAAACTAAGAAACTAATTAACTAATTTTTTATATAATATAATATATAACTTAAACTAACAAACTAATATAATATAACTTAAACTAACAAACTAATTAACTAAATTTTAGTTCTACCCTAAACCCTAAACTAACAAATTAATAATTTTATGTAATAAACTAAATTAAACAATAAAAAATTACCTCACGAACGATGTTTGAGCCTTTATCTTCTTTTCTTCTTCTTCTTTTTCTTTCTCTCTGCAAAGTTTCTATATGTGCTTCTGGTTCTGCTTATGCTTCTACCCTAAACTCCATATCCTTTATATAAAGCAAATAAGCGTTGAATCGTGTAACTATTGAGCGTTGAAAGGATGTAATTCAAAAACAATATTTGTTGTATGTAGCAGCTAAATTAACGATGCAATAATGCAGCTAAGGATGCAGAAATCTCCTAGCTATGGCATGCAAGGCATGCAGAGGGTTAAAAGCTTGGTCGCCTGGCGTGCATGGCGACCTACAAGGTCGCCCAGAGGGCATGGCGACCTATGGGTTGGGTTGTGCATGTCCCATGCACACGTTAATTCGCTCGTTGGGAAGCTGTCACGCCGTAGGTCGCCTGGAAGGCATGACGACCTACGACCAACATTGTGCAATTCGCCTTATTTGAGCAATTAATCTTGGGAGTAAGTTATATCGTGAAATAAAAAATTTGAGAACATTATCTCGAGAGTTTTGCCGAAAGAATCAAATGATGGCAGGCCAAGGTACTCGATTTCCCTTTATCTCGCAGACATTTTTACCGTTATGAAAAGAGTTCGAATATTTAATATATATATTTGAAAAATATAGGATGATTATAAGATTTAATCTGTTTATAATTTTTTAACCATCATTAACACACATACATCTTGTAGATCATCTGCTCGAACTCAAAATTTTAAAGGAGAGCAACACTCGTTTTAACCATTGAGGACACTCAATAGGTTATACACTTACTTTTTTTAATTGATGGGTTGAACTGATTGATACATTACATCTGGTTCAACTAATTCATACAATTATGAGTGTAAGATTAACTTATGATCGTTAACTGTAATTATTAACTGATTAATTGTTATATTTTACAGATTGATTAATCGAACTATTAAGATCAAATAATTTTGATTAAACGAACCGTTAAAAATGACAATTAATGATTATAACTATAACTATGAGTTTTAACAAACAATTAACCTTTATCAATTAATCGTTGTTAAGTTATAAATATAATTTTTAAGGAAAATATAAATATAAATATAAATATAATGATTTGACTTTGGTCTTTCCACTTTAGTGTTCTCCACTGTTTTATCCTAACTTTTAACATTATCTTTTAAAATAAAAGTAATGTTTTAATTAGTAATTACTATATAGTATGAGTCTGTACTTTAAAAAAAATATGGAATTTAAATTTAGAATATATATATTTAAATATATGTTTTTGAAAATTTTAACATAATATTTATTGGAGTGATAGTTTTATTATGCTCAAAAGAAGCAATATATATATATAAATAAATATATATATAAATAAATATATAAATAAAGAAATTTGCTATAGGTTACAAATTAACGGTTAATAATTTCTTAATGATTATATTATGATTAACAAAAATTAGTAATTATTATAACTTTTAATCAAATTATTTAAATTAAACAATACGATTAACCGACCACAAATACCTTAAATACAATAAATCATTTTAGCATTTCCTGAAATCTTTTTTATAACTATTTTTACTTTTATTCGACAATACTTTTAGAAGATAGTTTTTTTAACTATCAATATTATATTGCTTATTTTTATAACGTTTATAAATTTTAGAAAATTGATAATACATGCATTTCTTAAATTTTGTACTATATACCCTTTTATTTTTAATATCACTGATTCAATTTTTTTCATTTATATTTTTTATTTCTTAATTTAATGATTTTAAATTTAGTTTAAAACATTTTATACGTATATATTTTAATTTGAGTAAATTATAAGATTAATCACTTTCGTTTAAGTTTTATACACTTTTACTCACTAAATTCAGAAAAACATAATATTTGATTACTTTCACTTTTATTTAATTAAGATGTGGTCATGTTCGTTTTTATTTAATTAAGATGTAGTTACTTATCTTATCGGAAATGACCATTCAGCTCAGTTGGTAGAGCTAATTTCTTACCTCCCCTTACCCCATTACATATGAGAATAAGGGTCAGCTAATTTTTTTTACTTATCTTATCGACTTTTAAATGTTTAGTCACTGAAATTTTGCCTACCATTAGTGAAGAAATTAAATAAAAGTAACCACATTTTAATTAAATAAAAACAAAAATGATAAAATATTATATCTTTAAAATTTAATGAGAAAAAATTTATAAAATTAAAACATAAATGATTAATCACGTAGTTTATCCTTTTAAACTAAAAATTCTCTTAGAAAATGATAACATGTGGCCGAGTTTACATAAAATAATTCTGTCAGCCAATCACATTGCAGAAACCAAATAAAAAAGTGAAGAAAAAGAAAAAAGGAAATTCCCAAGTTAGTTGTACTTTCTGTGTCTCATTTGCTTGCTACCCTCTGTGTATTGGGTTCTCTGTCTCATCTCTTTTATCATATATATATATATATATATATGTGTGTGTGTGTGTGTGCGTTTCTTTGATGTTATTTTGGAGGTGAATGTTGTTATTTTTGTTTTATAAAATGCAGGTAAGTAAGAGGAAAGATCAGCTTTTTCTTTTTTAAATTGGGATATTTGTATGTGGTATTTGAGAGGACCCATGGGTGCACCACCAGCTAGAGCCCGGGCTGATTATGATTATCTCATTAAGCTTCTTTTGATTGACGATAGTGGTAAGTTTTTTTATGGGTAAAAGAATAATTTTTATCGTCACACCATTGAAAAATGAAACATGGGTATTGGGAAAACTCTGATTTTTTTTTTTTTGTGTTTGGGAGGGGGGGGGGGGGTTGATTGAATGTTGCTCAGGTTCCATTGGGAAAGAGACTATATGCAATATGTTTTTTTTTTCCAGAAGTTATGACTTTCAGGCTTTGCTTATATATTTATCGTATATTGCGTTTGCATTTTTGAGATTTTCATTGATTTTATGGTAATGGATTTTCTTCGAATTGATTCTGGGCATTATTATTTGCTACAATTTAATGAAGCGATAAACATATTGGCGAATGCAGATTGGGATCATGATGGAAGGAGCTTTATTATATTGTAACATAGGACACAGGAAGTGTGCCATATTCGTACTGGATATCCTTATACATACATATCCACCATTCTAGTAGTTTAGCAAATGATCGTTACACTGATTGAATACTCGATAAATAACTTGCATCCACTAAATGCAGTCTCAAATCCGACTATGATGATCGAGCCCTGAAAATCATTACACAAACAACGTAAACTTATATAGCTCAGTGAGGATTAGCTAGCGTGTGTATGTATGTGTGTCTCTCAGTAAATCTATTTTTGAGTAATTTTATCGCATGTATCATACACCCGCAGAAATGGGTATCACCGTTTAAAAGTTGGTGACATCTGGGGACGGAGGCAGGCCTTTATGTTGGGGGAACTAATTTCTTAAATTCTGGAAAGGCACAAACTTATAAAACTCCATGGGACGAAAACATATTTTCAATATAAAATACATAGAAAAAATCTAAAATATATGATAATTTTATATTTTTAGGGGCGAAGCCCTCTCAGAATATATTATCTCGTCCTGTTAGCAAGGATGGACACATATTTTATCTTGGGGGCGAACAAAATCTAAAATATACGAGAATTTGAAATTTTCAAGACAACTACGGTCCCCTTGGGTCCATCCCTGGTGACATCTTTTTGTTGATTTGCTTAATTGTACTTTTTGATGTGGAATCTTGATGCCAAAACATGCATGAAAAAATTGGTGGGAAGCTTTGCAATATGATCCTTATCTGATGCAGAGTAGGAAATAGAATTGTTTTTGTTACATTTGACACGTTTTTGTTGAAGAGGCATGCTGTGTAATCTGTATTGCTTGGCTTACAAGTTAAAGAGAATTATGATGTGATCTCATGTTTGGGCTTGAATTTTACGTAGCTTTAAATATTTCCCAACTGATTTTTCTGATTTGAATTTATGCAGGAGTGGGGAAGAGTTGTCTGCTTTTGCGTTTTTCTGATGGTTCATTTACTACTAGTTTCATAACGACCATCGGGTTTGTATTCCTGGAAACTCCTGTCGTTCAAAGTTATTTGCACCATTTGGTTAATTCCAATGAAACTGCAACATTTTAGAGATGGAATGGAGTTCACAATTATTGTAATCTAAGTTTTCATTTATCTGTCCTGGACCTTGACAATCCCTTGGTAATTGGTATTCAGCTTGAAAAATTGTACACACTCTTCAAGATGGTGCTCAATGAACTGTTTACAACAATAGTTTATAATCCTTTCATTCCTTTGCTCAGTACTCCACATTATATTTTGGTTGAGACATCTATTCAGCTGATTCTCTAAGATTCTGATAAGGAACGTTTTCTCTTGTTGACTATTCTATTTTCCTTGACTGCGTTGATTTCAAAATAAGAACGATCGAGCTTGATGGTAAGAGAGTCAAATTGCAAATCTGGGATACAGCTGGTCAAAAGCGATTTCGAACTATTACAACAGGCGTGTTTAAGCTTTTGCTGGTTGCCTTTTTTATTTTCTTTTCAAACTATTACGACAGGACCATAAAGCTTGATGTCTGACTTGGCTGATGAATCATGCTTCTGCAGTTTACTACCGTGGAGCTATGGGGATTTTGGTGGTTTATGATGTTACTGATGAGTCATCTTTCAACAGTAATGTTCCGGTTTTATTAATTCTGCTTTTGGCATGTAGGTGAAATTGTCAATTTGATAAGCCATTGTTGTTGGATGATTTTCATCGTTTTTATGCTCGTCTCCTCCCTCGGGTTAGGCAGTGTAATTGATCGCTGCTTTTGTTGTGATGGGCTGTCATCTCTTTCTGCTGGTATGGAGTTTCTTACAGTGGATCCTACATCTATTGCGAGTCCAACTTCTGTTCATGTACAGATATTAGGAATTGGATTCGCAATATCGAACAACATGCTTCAGACAATGTTAACATGGTACTGGTCGGAAACAAGGCTGACATGGATGAGAGCAAAAGGGTAAGACTTTCCCTTTTGAGTATTTATAGAAATTGCTTTTCTTGTTTGAATTGGTGGTTAGATTCTCAGTCTATTCGGCAACCCCTTATTCCTCGTTCATGAACCAGACACGTTTATCGAGTAATAATCGGAATTAATCTCCTCTTTGCCAGGCTGTGCCAACATCGCTCTTGCTGATGAGTATGGTATCAAGTTTTTCGAAACTGTAGGTCATGTTTTCTTCTGACTGGACCTTTTCATTTTTCAATGCTATTGATCATTTCTTTGGATACTATTGGAACAATGTAATTCAGCAGAGTGCAAAGACGAATTTGAATGTGGAGGAGGTTTTCTTTTCAATAGCCAGCGACATTAAGCAAAGGCTTACAGAATCTGATAATAAGGCTGAGGTATTCTCTCTTCTGAATTTATATTCTCCTTTATCCCTTCGACTGGTTTGTGTTCAAAATGATGGATGTGTTGTTTTTATGGCAATCAAAATCAATAAGGAAGACCCTGGAGCAACCAGTGCTCAAGTTGCTCAAAAGTGGAATTGCTGCGGATAGTAATGAGAATGAAAAGGGTATGCAGAGTCAAAATGGAAGCTTCAGCTTCGCAGTTGCTCTAATGTAAAACTAATTCTTCATGTATTTATCTCCTATTTTCTTTCCAGCTACTAGGATTAGCTCGTTAAAGGCAGTTCCCTTTTTTTTCATTTAATACGTGGAATTTTAAGTCTTTAATCTCCTTAAACTCAAATGACCCTTGTTATGTACTTGTCTTGTGTAGATATATTGTCACACCCCAAAATTTTGGGGCAAAAATAATAAAAATTCATTAATTAAATATTAGGATTTATTTGGTATGTTAATGATAATTTTAGGATAAATTGTAAACCAAGGATGTTTCAGGGACTAACCACGTGATTTCCTGTTCTTACCTAAACTAGAAATATCTCCTTAAGTAAAAATAAAATAATATGCGGTTAAAAAGGCTTGAACTTGTGATTTAAAGGATAACCACTCATGGCTTAGCCATCTAGGTTAGGTACTATTATTGTTCATTATAATACAAATATGTATTCTTTGTTTTGGCTCGGGATATACCCAAAAACAAAAATCAGATACCTCCCCTGGTCGTGAACTAGCTCTCCCCAATCCCCAAATTAAACCAAAGAAATAAAACCTCCCCTCACCCGTATTTTCCGCTCTGATCCAGCCACCTTCGATCAGTAGTGGAGTATATTGAAAACATTTTGATATTTTGATATAACAAATAAAGTATTAATATAAATAAAGTGTTAATGAATTTTAAGATTTTATATTCAATTTCAAAAACAATATTCGATCCAATTAATCGAATATCACATATATTACTCTAAGTTTTCAAATGTCAATTTTACTCCTTACTTAAATGAAAAATTGTGTTTCAATCTTAAAATATTTTTGGAACAATTTTTACAAAGTATTTCGAACCATAATCGAGCCAAAAATGAGTTTTAAATAAGGAGGTACCGATACCCTCTTCAGAGGTATCGATACCCCTCAAACTTCGAATGCAAAAAGGGTATGAATACCTCATAGGGTACCGATACCCCTATGAAAAGAGGTTCGATACCTTTCCCATATGTATCGATACCTCTTATGTTGATTTTGACTCCGAGAAAAACATAATGCCAAATGGGTACCGATACCCCTGAGAGGTACCGATACCTTTGGTCTTATAACAGTCGAAATATTTGAATTTTACACAGGATGTATTGATACCCTTTGAAGATGTACCGATACCCCTACGCTCCCAACAGTTTTTTGAAGTTGAAAAACATACAACAACGATTCTATTAACTTCACCAAGGCTCCCAAAGGATAGAACTCATCTGAGGTGTATTTAAACAAGTTCTTGAAGCCATTGATGATTAAGAATTATCAAGAAAAGCTAGAGACACAAGAGAGAAAGCATCAAACATCAAGTTTGAGCATTTCAAGCCAAATTCCTTTCAATATTTATTTTGCTTTCAAGAACACATTTTGTACTCAATTGTATTTATCTTTGAGTGTTCTTTCCTTGTTCTAGAATTGTGCAAACAATCTACCTTGTGAGTTTTTCTGTAAAGTACGTTTCTCTTTGCGAGAGAGTGTTCTCAAGAATTTGGGGTATAATTCTTGATGGAGTTGTAAGGTTACTCTTTTTCCTCGAAAGAAAGACAAATTAGTGAATTTGTGGAAAATCCTTAGTGTGGATAGCTAAGGTAGTGGACGTAGACTTTGATTGAGAAAGTCGAATCACTCTAAATTGTTGTGCAAATCTTTTCAATTTTCTGTCAAAGCTTCCACCAAAATTTTTAATTACCAGTTCCCCCCTCTTGGTCGATTCATCTGATCGATTAACTCAACAGAGTACACCGTCGTCGCCTTCGGGCTCAGCAGCAATTGGCGACCTCAACCCGACCCTCAAATCGCTCGAATCGGCCACCATCACGCCTTAATCATTAGGGACCTTCTAACCGCCTCAACGTCGATCTCCGCCACCGCTCGTCAGTGTAAGTCACCGTCGCTTCCATTTGGCGCGTCAGGTCACCGCGGTCAGAACCCCAACTGGTCACTCACCGATTGGTCACATCGTTAGCTGGGAAGGAACGGTTGAAGCTTCACCGGGAAAACCCAATTTCTCCCCTCGATTTCTCGTAATTTTCTGTCGTTCCAGCCGTCGGTTAGCCTCACACCAGCCATCGTTGTGCTCCCTAGGTGTTTCCAACAAAAACCCGATCGAGTTCGTCGTCCAAAACCGTCCCGTCACCGATCGTCGATTTTGGTAAGTTTCAAATATTTTTTCGGTTGATTTAAATTGTTTTGGTTGAATATTGGGTTGTTTGTGGATTAATTTTGGTTAGTTGAAGTTGTTGGAGTATTCGACCGCCGTCCCCGATCCCTGCACTATCACTATACGTCGCCACGCACACCCGCGTATACGTAGGGCTCCTATTCAGTCAATAAAATCTTCTAGAATGGTCTGGCCTGTCTGAACCGGCCTGAACCAGTTTGAACATGTGTGATTCAACTCGGACCAAATCGAGTCAACCCAAACTGGTCGGACCCATTAACTTTAATATGAATCGTTGACTTTGACTCGAACCATTAGCCGTTGACCGTTGACTTTAACTTTTGACCAATTTTACTGTTGACTTTGACTAAAAAGTCAAAATTTTTGTAAAGTCATATTTTATGTTTTTCGACGTCCTAAATCCAAATTCGAAGTTCGTTTTGCCAAAATCGAACCTTAAATACTCCAAATTGACCTGTTAAACTAGAATATGCATATAAAATTTAAGTATTTATTTAAGTTATTTAATTAAGTGCATCTAATTTAATTAGAGGGTCAATGACTAAATTATTATGTTGTTTAATTAAGGTACATGTGATTCTCCCGATCGTTCGTTTGACAGGCCCAATTCTTCCCGATCCGCTCTTCTGCTAGAGCCCGTGATTGCTCGTATAGTACTACAACCCTGTTAAATACTAAGTTTAGTGTACTACTCCGATAATAATTTTGTTCTGATACGACTTAGGTTATCATACAGTCGAAGAGCGTAGTGAAGCTGGTGCTCGATAGATTTATCGGACTGATTCTTTTTGTGAGGTGTGTTCCTTGTCTGCTATATATATGTATGTGTGTGTGTTTGAAATATCATGTGCACATGTCTTTTTTTTTTACCTATTTTGCAATATGGCTAGCTGATCTGATTTAATTTCGCATTATTTATCTGTTTCAAGCCTGATATCTGATTTACTGAAGTTTTAAGCCTGCTTGTCTGATTCATGTTCTCTGGTTACTGTTTTTACTGAATTGATATATGCTAGAACCCTGATTTCCTTGCTACTGTTAGTTACTGTTTGAAAACTATTCTTTTCGGGGTACTCTGGGATCTGGTATAAGTCTCTACAGGTTCAGCTCCGATCAAGATGGTAATTCCTAATACAGGTTCAGCACCGATCAAGCTGGTAATTCCTTATGAACCTAAGGTAACCCTTGGGTGGGCTTTTGGGCCCAATAGGCCTAGTGGTAAGACCTTCTGGACACTAAAGTACTCCTTTAGGGTGGCTCATCTACTATGTGCATTGGGTAAGTCCTTATAGGCCTGAGGGCACACCCCTCAAGTGGGCACCTACGCTTTGGCTAGGATAGGACCTTATGGACCCAAAGTGCTCCCTTAGGTTGGCACATACTCCCTTTGGGCCTAGGGTAAGCCCTTATGGATGTAGTTCTGAGGAACTACATATGGTGTACGGTTGGAGGTTGTTTTGTATTTTAAACTACAACTCTACTATCGTTTTCATAACTTTGATAATGAATCGATTTTGAAACTTAACTGTATGTTTTTATTTTGTACTACTGGAACACACTAAGCTCCCTAGCTCACTCCCCTAAACTTTTCTCTTTCAGATACTTTTTGATAGGTGACCCGGACCTGGAACTTGAAGGATCGACACATTCATACAATATTATTTTGTTGTAATATTTTTTTATCTTCTGATTTGCCATTATGATGGGTGACATGTGCCTATTTATTTTGAAATACTTGTCTTACGACGTATATTGCTTTTGCGACTGATGTTAGAATTACATCGATACTAATATGTGAAAGATTTTATTTTGCTCAGACATTTAAAGTTTTATATATTACTCAAATTATAACTTATTATTAATAATTATGTTTTTAAAAGGTGTTTATTTATAATATAGATTTAAATTATTGAAAAATGTTTTGAAAAATTGTATCGTCATATGTTAGATATGACCACGCATAGGCCGGGTCAAGGGGTTACATAGATAATTTGGATTCATGTTACGATACAAAGGTCTTAACCAAAGTATAGTGGTAAAGATTTGAAATGTTGGGATTCAAACCCCAAACCTGATTAATAACACCCCTTAAGGGCAACTATAATCGAGTCAAGCCTAAGAGTTGCTAATCCACTCATGTAATATGTAATTCCATGATCTTATGTCTATGTTGTTTGGAAATGCCATATCCAGCTGAGCCGAGAGAACATTTTTTATGTTTAGAACTCGCAAGTCATGAGCTTCGATGATTTGAACCCTGGGTTAAGATTGGTCTCTGACACTTGGCCTGAAGGGTTGGTGCCCTTGGGTTCGAGGTCACCTGCTTCAACCATATGTATGAAATACAATGTACTAAAGAAAGCAGTGTTACTGAAGATAGTGAACTTGTTTCATGCAGGAGCTTCGACCATATGTATGAAATACAAGTCCCGGCCAACCAACCTCAAACTTAATGACATAAGACCCTGAGGCGATATAGTGTAACCAGTATACCAAACTTTACATAAACGGCCATACAATCCAATGGCCTACATGTTTAGAAGAAGATTTCATCCTTCTCGAGTATAGAATGACCAACTAAGAAATTAATGAATTTAGCACAATACAACTGCATGCCATTAAATAAATGACATAACATGCTAAATTAATGAAAAACTCTCATTTAACACTTTAATTATAATAAATTTTATTTTACTGTTAATTTTATTTCAGAAATTATAACTTTTAAAATATTAAAAAATAAATTGTTATAATATATTTTAAAGAAAATCTGATTTTTAAAAAAATATTACTTAAAAATATTGAAAAATATATGTAAAATGATTTTTTTATTATAATTGAGTGGTCAAATAAAATATTTTTTAATTTAATATGCAACGTCACCTCCTTAACGACATTTAATGTTCGGTATCCATTTTTTAATATAATCAAAAGTTTAATTTCTATTTGTAACTTTTAAAATTTTTAATTACAAATAAAATTAATTTAGCAAAATTTATTGATCATTTAGGAATTTTACCCTATAAAAATATTAATAGTGATGTATATCGGTATATGTCATGTATTTTAGATTTATCCTACCGAATGACGTCTTTCAACATGGATTCTGTAAGCTTTAAGTTTCTAGGCAGAATACGTGGCTGTTTATTGTTGGTTGTATAATTTTACTTGCAGTTCGTTCGTTTTAACGTGAACGTAGGCCAAGAGAGTAAAGGATAGAGTTAAACATGGTTGGTGACTTGATCTGGGAAAATATCGTTTCATATACCTATTTTCACGTCATTTTTCATTTAAATAATAAAATAAGGAATAGTTATTCCGTTCACTTGTAAAATAAAATTTTAAATCACATTAAAAATAATTTGGAGGATAATTAAATAAATGTGTTAAATATTCAAATGTTTATCCTTTTAAGTACTTAATGGGAGGATTTTTTTTTGCTTGGCAAGAACAATTTATTAAATTAAAACAATAGATCAAGTTCAACTTATAAACCTCATTAAAAACTTCTCAAAAAAATTAGAGGAAAAGAGTGCTACATGAGAACAAAAACAAACACGGTGAACAAAAAAAAATTGGAGGATTTTATTTAAAGACAAGATTATAATAAAGTCAACATAATTAATATGTATAATGTGGATAGTATTCAATATGCCGTGGGGGAACGTAAGAGGTTGTGACATTTTAAAAAGAAATATTAATTTTTTAGAATATATTTATATGGTAAATTCCGCAGTTGACAATATGTAAAAGTTTCCTTGCAAGAGCTATAGAAAACGAAGTCACGTATCTGAAATTGTTGCCTATTCTTTCGTCACTGCTTATTTAGATCGAGGGCAAATCAAAACTTTGACGTGAATCTCCTTCCCTTTACCTAAAATCTGTAATTAAGTTCCCAAAGATACCCAGACAAATGTAATTCCCTTTCTCAGAAACCCTAATTAGCTAAAATAAACCATACAACATTTAGTACGTGGAAGCACTGCAACTTTTTGTTTGGTTGGTCACAAAAGAATGGACAAAGCTTGACCTATTTAATCACTACAAATTTTCCACACGATTAAGACCATGTTAGCGTGAGTGGTGGACAAGTTGCTTTTAATTTGATGTTATGTTACATAAATTTAGGAAAGCAAAGCACTTCCAAGTATTGGTCGAAAATTCCCTGACAAATAGACCCCTTTGAGCCTTCTGTGAGCATACAAAGCAGTCTAAACCTTAATTTATAAATAAATGAATCAAATTGACCCTTAAGCAAATGACGGGATTGATTTCACATTACACTATTGTGAAGCTAGAAATGAATTAAGATACAATTAACAAGGAGTGATACATTAATAAATCCTGGATCCGGCCAGTGTGATAGTGAGGGAAACGTTGTGCTCTCCAAATCAAGCATTGAAAGCTTTCGAGTTGGTTCTTTTCACAAATTGATGCAAAGCCACGTCACAGTAAATATGCTTCAGAAAACAATAAAAGAGTAAAAAAAAACATAGTAGATGTTTTCCATGTTCACATATACATACGTTGCTTTCCTTGAAATATAAAATATCTGTAATTATAACGTGGAAAAAATCAAACCCACATTAAGAATTTAATTTTCCATAAATGGATATGAATTTTTCCTGTCATTTCTTCTTATATTTTGGAGTTAAGGGTTTATTCAGTTGTCATTTTTCTAAATTACAATAGTAAAAATAGATTTAAGTTGTAAGTGTCAATTCATATTACTTTATAATATTCTCTCGATTAGAAAATAAATATAATCTTTTTTCCATAAATTTACATCTTTGCTTCTACTCCCTCACAATCTCTGTTGTCACTCCTCTACACAAAAAACCCTAATCCTTTGGAGTTTTTCCTAAACTATCCCAAGACTCTTCAAACAAGTATGGCTGAAAAGAGATTACCACCTTCCTGTCTAAACCATCAACAAAATTATTTTCTCTCTCAACACTGACAAAAGTTTAAACTGTGTTTTTACCCAAGGTTAGACGAAAACAAAACTGTTACAGTCCAATACTTGACCAATAGATGTTACATCATTTTCCCACCTCATTCGCACTGAGTACGATCGACTTCGTCTCATTCGGTTTCGCCTGACTGTTTTAGGGGAATCCACGAGGATTATGACCCACTCGTCACGTGGAGAAGCCTAATGGCAAACCGTAGCAGACAAACAAATAGTCATTTCCAAACCCTCACCCAATTAATTATCATCAACCTCCCACGTGACCTTAGACTCCTAAGCTAGCCCCTTCCTCCTTTTTAGTTGCTCCATTTTCTTCTCTAAACGCACAGCTGCTTCCTTCATCATCAAATTACCACTTCACCATTTTCTTTGTGTTTTTTTTTTAGTTCATTTCACTCAAAGAGAGAGATTTATATACAATCATGGGCGATTCTTCGAAATCTTATATACATATGGTGATACATGCTATATATAATTTGATATATATGCGTGTAATGTTAGATTTTATTACAGTTATGGGTAGTTTAACATGCTTTTTTAATGTTGTTAACAGGTGCAGCATCTGATAGAAACGTGTTTGGTCTTCAACATGACGAAAGAAGAGTGCTTGCAAGCACTTTCCAGGCATGCAAACATCCAACCTATCATCACTTCTACAGGTAATATATATGTGTAATTAATTACTAAGATGATCAGTTGTTTCCATCCTTGTTTATGATCTGATACAACCTTAATTTCATCTAGTATTGAAGAGACAAGATCTTGACTAGGATATTATGAAAGATCTCTTGAACAACTGAATACCATGCAGTGTGGAACGAGCTTGAAAAGGAAAACAAGGAATTCTTCGAAGCCTATTCAGTGTCTAAAAGCAAGAAAGAGCAGCGAATGTCAGAGGAAGAGACAAGTCAAATCATCCAAAAATGGTCTCAGATTCATCTAAAGATACCGACAAATGTGTTTATTGCCACAGTTGTCTATTAACGCTTTAGGAAGAAAATAAATACTAAATAAAGAGTCCTTTCAGATCAACTTCGATGGGGTGGGAAAGGTCCTATTGTTGAAGATATGATTGGTTATCGTTGGTCCCCCTTCTCAAATGTAATCCAAGTTATAATCACATCATAGCAAATACCTACGATGATTAGATAGATCATCATCGTTAAATTAATTTTACAGTTTAAATTTTTTTTAAATTAGTTTTCAAGGAATTGGTATTATTAGATTAAATGACACTAAATAATTCAAAAACATTAAAGTTGATAATAGTATAGATGAATCTTTATGTCTAAGGTTAGTTTTTCTTATTGACGTTGGATTGAAAATTAAATAAAAAAATGTAATGAAAAGTATGATATATTAATTTAAAAGTATTTGATATTGATGTTAAAAAGTATTAAAAAATTAAAATATATATCTTACTTATTATTTTCGAATGTACTGAAAATTAGAATAATTAAATCTAGAAAAATATCACTTTGTAGTTTGTGGCGTTCTCTTTGGATCGAGGTGCAAGTGTTATACCTCTATGTTGAGATGATTTTTTATTCATCGGATCCTTCTACTAGTTACAATATTGAAATGACTCTCAAACTCTTCATTAATCGTTTTATTTGTACATGAGATGTCCTTATTGAGATGCCTTCGCTTAAACCTAGTCAAGATGCTTTACTTTCAATACATAGTTATTCTTATCGAGACGTACGCTTCTGTATATTTATACAAAGTTACATGTAGATATTCTTTACATAATGTAAAATCAACAAAATAATTGTTTCTATGTACGGTTAAGGCCCCCAAACACACGTATTAATCTTTCAAAATTCTCTCAAGAGATGTTTAATATCGGAACACATAAGAGATAAGCAATACAACCTTTCAAATCATAAGGATGGGTCATTTATCATTGCAACCCCATTAGAGTTTTTACTAACATAAAAAACATTTTAGATTTATTTTGTCGATTCATTACGTCACTGTGTAATGCTCTTTTTGGAGAATAAGTGTTACATTTCTAATAAATAATGTTTGTGAGAACCACCTAAATCTCCATCAATAACGACAATAATTGTCGTTCTATGACTTTAAGGGCAAAAGGATGATTTTACTCACTTTCTCAAATAACGACTATAATCCCCTTTCTCCTCCATACATGAGCATCCATATATGTTCTGTGTCTCAAAATACCCCTGAGCATGGTCAGCGATTCTTGGTCTACACTAATAAGGGTGAAGTGTCGTGAATCATGATGAACCACGTCTTTTCAGTTGAACATCAACAAAATTAAAATCTCCTCCATTGGGCCTGCATGTTTTCTTTGATCCAAGTTGACAAAAGGTGTGGTCTTTTTACTCTATTTTTGTACAATGCTGGACCTCTCGAACGAAAAGATGAAGGGGATGGTAAACAAAGTCATGGTCTCTATGTTTTCCTTCCTTCACAATAACCAAGTGATGCAACCAAGTCTTCTTTACTTTTTATTTCTTCTTCATTCACCACTGTTGTCTTCTGTGCAAAATAATGCTACTTCTTTCTTCTCTTCTTCTCATACTTCTTTTACTTTAGCATTTTCGTTTAGGGCATACGTCCTTATCGAAGTTAAATAAAATGTCTCAATTATATTTTAATTTCTCCAATGATGAACATGTTGCTCATTGTTATGTTTATCCACTGGCTAAACCACCATATTTGTTGTTTCCACGAAGTACATCTCCAGTCATTATATTTTTCCTTAATACAAATAGATGTGTGCGGACTTTATAAAATTATTATAATTTTACTATGGAAGATGATCATACCCAAGTGACTCAATTATTATTATTCGTTTAGGACGTTAATCTACTTATCGATATATAATAAAATCTGATCTCATAGCTTTTTGAGTTGTATTTTGTGGACTCAGTCTCAATTTACATTATGTCGTTGAGCTAGTGCTTAAAACATTATGTCGTCGAGTCATTGTTTCAAAGCAACAATGTTGCTAGTAAACATCATTGAAATATAATTTTATAATATTTCAGTTACTATATTAACGTTTAACTCATATGATCGTCATTTTTTTAATTAAAAAAATATAAATTTGAAATATACAAATATTTGAATGATTATTTTGTAATTTTTAATAGTTGGGGACTTAATAGAGTACCGCCATATAATTGAGAGACCATTTATATACTTTATCATAATTTTCCATCAAACGTTGTTTAACTTGAATACTATTTTTTATCAAAATATTGTAAATCGTTTATTCCAATGGCTGACTATTACATGCTTCACATGGAAGCTCAAATTTAATATCTTTGGAGCCTTTTAAACAAATTCCTTTTATTTTTCACCAATAAGATGGTTCATCTTATTGGTGTGTATTAATTTAGTATGAAAAATGGCAGGTGGGTGTGTTATCAGTTATGTAAAGTTTTTTAATGATAATGACTCTAATGGATGTTATTTGATTTTAGTGACCAAATAAAAATACTGTAAGAGTTCAACGACTACCTTTTAGAATTTACCCTAATTGTTTTATAAACAACTATCCGTATGCTTTAAATTCTTTTCGTCTAAAAGACTAAAAGTATTTATTTGAAATAAATAAATCAGAAGTAGATTCTTCAAATAAAAAGTTGTTATTGATTTTTAATTTATTGCCGTCCATCTCTTTCAGCTTTCATTTATCGGATTAATATTAGAAAATTTGTTACCCTAACACCTAATTAAATGATAAAAATAATTTTAATGAAAATAAAGTTCTACTTGATATCGAAATATAGAACTCGTTATTTTAATAATTTATTTTTATTTGATTTATAAAAAATAAAAATATTTTAAAAAAAAATCTATAACACTAGCCGAGAATCGTTAAGCACCACTAAAAACTATTAATATAATTTATAAAAATTAAAAATTTTAAATGACTCAACAAATAATTATAAATTAGTTAAAAATTTAAAGGTAAATTATTTAAAATAAAATATGAATTAAATTATTTTCCATAAATTTTTTTAACAATATTTGGTTTAAAAAACTCTTAAATTAAAAAGTCCTAAATATATTTTAAATAATTTACTTTTAAAATTTTAATTAATTTATAATTATACGTCGAATATTTTAAATTTTTATAATTTAAATTAATAACAGTTTGCAGTATTTACTATTAATAAATTTTAACGATTCTCGTCCAACTTGACTTACTCGTCATTATTTTGAGCGGTTTCAAAACTTGGTGAATGGTAGTTGAGTTTACACGTGAATACGCACGTGCCATATACACTTGCTTACCCTCACCTCCTATTGCCCTACCTACCCTTCTTTTTCCCATTAATTACGTACCTACCCCCTCACACATAGAGGCTATATAAAGCTCACCGTTTCACTCCCAATTCCCACCACTCGAGACGAAAATTGAAGGCTTTAAATCAACGACAGCGAAATGTCTACGTCGCCATCCATCACCCAACTCGAGGTGGAGAACGTTACCTTCCCTCCATCGGTGAAGCCTCCGGGTTCCACCAACACTCTGTTCCTCGGTGGCGCAGGTTAGTGTTTCCCCTCATTCTCTTTTAAAATCCATTCGATCGCCTTTTCCCCCCTTTTTCGTTCTTCTGCTGATGGCTCACGTGCGCCAGGAGTGAGAGGGTTGGATATCGGAGGAAAGTTCATAAAGGTCACCGCGATCGGAGTGTACTTGGAAGATAACGCAGTGAAGTGCCTTGCCGCTAAGTGGAAGGGTAAGAATGCCGCGGAGTTAGCGGAATCCGTCGAGTTTTTTAGAGACATCGTCACAGGTAATTTCCAAAATTATCTCATATATATCCTGTTTGTTTGTTTGTTTCAGTTGAAAAAAAGAAGTGGACTTTGATTAAGAAAATTGTGATAAAAAACTTGGAACAATTATTTTCCTAAAAATGTGAGGGAAAGCACTGTCGAACCTAGGACGATGATGATACTCAAATTAAGAGTCAATCTGCATGGTAGGGGTTAGGGATATATGTTGTATTTCCTCCACAAACTGTATCACCGCTGTCAATCCTACAAGATCACTAACAGGCTCAGGTGATATTTAGAGTATAATCTATACTGTCTGACAGTTTGATATGTTTAGTCTTCCAACCTGCAAATAACTATCATCGCCTTAAGTCGAACACCAACACTGAAGTTTTGTATGTAAGCCACCATGCAAGGCTGAAAGAGGATCTTTCTCCTCTAGATCTCACGAACTCTTTCTCGCTATTGTTCGTCATCTCTTTCAGTCTTTAATCTAGTGTCTGCAACTCTCCGTCCAAACTAGAAGGGTGAACTGTCTAATGCCACCACAATTCTATTGTTGTCATCAACAGTACTATATTGCCATTGTTCATTTTCTAATAAAGTATTTTTTTTATAATTACCTAAAGAAGATCTATGTATTATGTGTTTCTGGCGGATTTTATTTTTCTATTATAATTTGATAATTTCTAGTTAAGATTGTTGGTTGTAGCAGTGTCGGGAAAACTGTTATGATTAGCATCGGAGTTGAAAGTTAAATTATTAGATGAAGTTTGGGATCAAGCATAATACTTTCTTGGCCTGCCCCACCGCTATTCCTATCGTCAATCCTAATGTTTATGATATGCATTTGTACGTGACTTTGAGAAGTTCATATGGGTAACAGTGATCATAGTTATGATCAGTGTCATAACTAATGGTTTTAGAGGATGGATTTGGGTTTTATATTAAGTGAAATTGTTGTGGTCAGTGTCAGAGCTAAGGTCTCAGGATTCGGGTTTATAAGTAAAATTGAGTCGGATCAAGCAAATACCATCCTGTCCTGCCATATTGCTTTCCCTATCTCAATCCTAATGTTTTGGTATGCATTTGTGATTTGTATCTGTAGGCGACTTTGAGAAGTTCATACAGGTAACAATGATCCTGCCATTAACGGGTCAACAGTACTCTGAGAAAGTAGCGGAGAATTGCGTTGCCATCTGGAAATCTCTTGGAATCTACACTGATGCAGAAGCAAAGGCCATTGAAGAATTCCTTGAGGCCTTCAAGAATGAAAACTTCCCACCTGCCGCCTCCATTCTTTTCACAGTATCACCCGGCGGTTCTGTAACAGTAAGTCCAAAAACCTTTTCTAATCATTAAACATTTGTTGCTTTTTTCTTCAATAGAAATGGATGATCGATTATCCTGAATTGCCAAATGATTGGAATTCAAGTAGTATCTTATCGGTTACGTCTTTCCTTTAGCCTAGTTGTCAATTTGGGCATGAAATCTGAGTTCAAATCTGACATGAAACATATTTGAAATACATGTATACATGCTACATAGATAGTTTGAAATTGATGGGTTGAAAAAAAATAAACGATGTCATTCAAATATAGGAGGATCATAACAAAAAGCTTTGGCTCATTTTTTGGTACACTTGAATAAACCTTAACCTTTTAACTTGTAGTCAAATAAGCCCTTAACTTGGTGGAAAAAAAAACAGATTGGATTTTCCAAAGATATGTCAGTGCCGGAAGCAGGGAAAACGTGATAGAGAATAAACAACTAGGAAATTCAGTGCTGGAGTCCATCATTGGTAAGAATGGAGTTTCTCCAGCAGCAAAGCAAAGCTTGGCGTCCAGATTCTCACCATTGTTGAATGAGAGTCTTAACTAGAGTTTCACTGTCTCCTTCGGACCAGCCGATGTTGGCCTTTCTATATATCAATGAAGCAACTTGTATTCTAATTTCCGAGTCGGGTATTCCATTGAATCTTCTCTGGGATATTTTTGTTTGTAGGAAACGTTTCCATACTTTTGAAATAAATGTTTAATGAGTCATGTAATTTGGCATATGCATGAATGTGTGTATTTACTATTTATGCAGTGTTAAAAAAAACTAATTGAATTGGGAAGTTGAATATTACTTCCATTTGTATTAAATCCACCTTTTCTTCCGGAAGGGACAGATTGATATACTGCCTTCCGCTGAGAGTTTCAAGCAAAACTACCCTAAAAGAGTAAACATATGATTTCTCTCTTAGTTGTTGTACTGTCTAAAACTTCGAGTCAAGAGCTTCCTTTGTTGAACTCGCATGCGTTCGATCAATATCCGGACCACATCACTTTATATATTTAACTTATATTTTATATTGTTTATCGATCAATCTAAATCAAGTAATATATAATCTTAATATAAGACGATACTCTCAATCTAATTTATTTCACTCATAAATGTTAAGTTTAAAATCTTAATCTTGTTTAAAAAGATCTAATACCTCATCTTCGGTCTTATTTATTTCAGTCATAAATGTAAGGTTTAAAATCTTAATTTTATTTACGAGAGATCTAGTACCTCGTCTAACTAAAGTTGTTCATAAAAAATACAGCTTACTTAGAAACTGCACTTAACACATTTTACCTTTTTTTTCAAAACATAATTCGTTTTCGCTTGTCAAACTTGTTTTCTTAAATTATTAAATATAAAGTAAATTATTTTCAGAAAACATTGAAAAAAATCTAAAAGCAAACATATATATTTTTATACACAAAATAATTTTATTTAATGCAAATATATAGTTTGGTTCCGAACTTAAATTTAGGATTCAATTTATACTCAATCTTTAGTAAAAAAAAGTATTCAGATTTGATTTTAAAGCTTAATATAATATTTAAAGTTATTTTTATTTAGTTAAATATTCTAATTTAATTTACTAAATCAATTTGATATTTAAAATTTATTTATTTTATTTAAGTTGATATTTATATTAAATTGTTTGTTTGAATCATAAAATAAAACTTACATTTAATTAAAATGTAAATTAAATATTTAATTAGATAAATAAATTTAAATATCAAGTTAAATCTTAAATTTCAAATTTATTATTTAATTTAAAAAGTTATATATAAAATTGTATAAAATAAAATTGAAATATTATAATATATATCTATATTTTTCTTTATTAGTAGATATATATACTTCGCTAATATATTAAAAAGGATCTATTCAGGGATATAATTTTCTAACGAAACATCCAAATGATGTTGTTTTATTATGTAGACGTCGCTGTCCGACATGTGAACTCGAGTTTTGGAAATTGAGGAGCATAGCAGAAGCTAAATAGCTTGTCTAATGACCGACAAAAAAGGGAAGAAAAATCCTCTACGGCCAGGCCACAGGTCTTGCTTAGGACCGAAACAGTTATTCGACACGTCATGTGCTGATCCAAATTTATATACCAAATCTTATGCATCATCTACACTGCTCATTTTAATAAATTGATGTCTAAAACAGAGAAACGATCAAATTATCCTTCGTAATGTATATGCATCTAAAAACAACTATAATAATCATATAAATTAAATTATATCATCTAAAAACAACTATCATAGTCATATAAATTAAATTATATCAGTAGTTAAATAAATAATTATTATTTTTAGATACTACAGAAATATTTAAATTTTTATTATTAAATGATAGTAAACTTTTATGTAGAACAAATTATACCTTGTGATAACCCTAAATTAAGGGGAAAATTATCATAATCTTTTAATTGTATCACTCTTTGGATTTTTTATTTTATTTTGAAAAACAATCTCAATTAATTCACAACGTTTGTTCTTTGATAGTATCTATTGAAAACAAACCAGACATTTAGACGACATTACCTCAATTAATTAATAATTAATTTTACACTTTCTAGATTAATGTAAATGAACTTTGAAACATTTAACACTTGATTTAACCAACAGTGGTGGAGTTAACTATGCTTTAATTAAAATTTGGGTAAATTACACGAGTGGTCACTTTTGTTTTTAATATATGTTCTTTTTTATCATTAATTTTGAAAAATTAATTCTTTAACCATTAAAGTTATCAATATGTCTTATTTTTCATTTAGTCATTAACTCATGTTAGTTTAATGATGTGACATATTAATAAAAAAATTAATTTCAAAATTAACCCTAAACTTTCAAAAGTTCATTTTCACTCTCTCTAAACAAAATAAAAAATCTTCTCTAACATAACACCAACCAAAAACATGTTAGTCATAGTCTCCAACAGTCCTCTGTGTTGTCTTTGGCGAAGAGGAACTCATAACACCATAGTTGTAGGTCTACAATCAAATGAATGGAAGAAAAGTACGTAACGATATTGGATCATTCCATTTTGATTTGAGACAAACGACAGTGTGAAGAGTGCGATAATGAGTAGCGGAGACAGAGCGTAAGTTAAGAACAAATAAGGGCTGACATTAGAGTCGATATGACACACTATGGTGGTTGGGGGGTATAACTGCCGAAGCTCACATTCTAGAGTTTAAATAGTCATAAATGTGACAACTAGGGTGCGACAAGAGCTATTTGTTGAGCTTCTAGAGGGGTGGCATTTGTTATGATTTTTGGTACCCATGACGGTTGACAGTCAAAGTTTGTGATTATCAAGATAGTGTTCATCCTACCTAGAGTTCTTCTTCTTTGTAAGAGACAACATGGAGAATAATTGAAGGTGACATTGACAACAAATTTAGGATAAGGGTTTTGATTAAAGAAAAGAGTTTTTTAGAAAGATAATTTTTAGGGATTTTTAAAGAAAGTAAAAAAAATGAACTTTAAAAGATTATAGATTAAATTTGAAATCAATCATTTTTTTGTTAACATGACACATTATCAAACTAATTATAGTTAATAATTTAATGATCAAGATAAGATAGATCGATAACATAAATGATCACATTGTTACCTTTTTAAAATCGATAATTAAATAAGATAGATAAAAAAAATAAAAGTGATCACCGTGTAATTTATCCAAATTTTAACCACCCATTCCCACGTATCCCTTCCCTCCTAAGAAACGAAAGGCGTACTACAAAGTTCAGACCAGATAATATAGCTCAGCCAAAGAGTGTTCACGCTATTGAATATTATTTATCTATACAAAATTAAAATAATCCAAATTAAAAATGCTCATTAATTAAATTTTAATTATTTTCCCAAAATTCTCCATTTTCCACTTTTTCTGGATTATTTAAGTGTAACTCGACTCTCGCCCTTTCTCTATGAAAAACGTATGAACACAACAATAAGAATCTAATCTAATAACTTAACAATTAAATGGAGAGAAAAAAACGATGAACATTTTCACGTGATTATTCAATTTCTATAAATATAATAACGAAAAAATTCCCCCAACCCAAAGCGCCATTTTGTTTTTTTCATCGTCTTCATATCCTGATTCTCTTAAGAATAGGCCAAAACCATATCACTGATTTGATTCTCAAGCAAGAAACGAGAAACCCATTATGTCTCGTGTTGAAGCCGAATCTGTATCGTCGGCTAATGGAAATTCTTCCCTTTTTTACCCCCACTCGGTGGAGATTATCGCCGGCGAATTATCAGCCTCCTCAACCGGTGATTTGACACTTGGACAGTTATTTAAACACGCCACAGCCGACGGAACTTCGGTCGGTGAAACCAACATTGATGTCACTAAGCTGCTGCCAGTGCCACTTGTTCTTTCCTTCAACAACCTTACGTATAGTGTAAGGGTTCGTCGCAAGTTGCCGCTGTTGGGGTTCTCCGCCGCTGGAGGAGGTGGTTTAACGAAAAAGTTGCTTAATGATATCTCCGGGGAGGCGCGAGACGGCGAGATACTGGCGGTGCTCGGAGCAAGTGGGTCCGGGAAATCTACGCTCATAGACGCTTTAGCTAATAGAATAGCGAAAGGGAGTTTGCAAGGGAACATCACTATTAACGACGATATTTTTTCGTCACGGATGTTGAAAGCGATTTCTGCTTATGTCATGCAGCACGATTTGCTTTTTCCTATGCTTACTGTCGAAGAATCCTTAATGTTCGCTGCTGAGTTTCGGCTTCCTCGGACCTTGTCCAAATCCAATAAGAAAACACGAGTTCAAGCTTTGATCGAACAATTGGGATTACGAAATGCTGCCAAAACTGTTATTGGCGACCAAGGGCATCAAGGGGTTTCAGGTGGCGAACGGCGTCGTGTATCGATAGGAATCGATATAATTCATGACCCCATCGTTTTATTCTTGGATGAGCCTACATCGGGGCTTGATTCAACCAGTGCTTTCATGATAGTGAAGGCTTTGCAAAGGATTGCTCAAAGTGGAAGCATTGTTATAATGTCTGTTCATCAGCCAAGTTATCGAATTCTTGGATCAGTTGACCGATTGATAATTTTGTCTAGAGGGCGAACTGTTTATAGCGGATTAACAACGAATATGTCGTTATATCTCTCTGATTTTGGACATCCGATACCCGAGAACGAGAATAAAATCGAGTTCGCTCTCGATTTAATCTGGGAACTCGAAGAATCTTTGGAAGGGACAAAAAGCTTGGTTGAATTCAACAAGTCATGGCAAAGAAGAAACTCTGAGCCGGATAGGCAAATTTCATCACTAAAAGAAGCAATTAGCATCAGTATTTCTAGAGGCAAACTTGTTTCGGGTGTAACCATTGATGCTGGTTCAACATCCATGGTTCCCACATTTGCAAACTCTGTCTGGAAAGAAATCACAGTTTTATCGATCCGATCGATCCGAAATTCAAGAAGGATGCCGGAGGTGTTCGGTATCCGATTGGCTGCGGTTTTATTGACAGGTCTAATTTTATCATCTATATTTTGGCAACTCGATAACTCACCAAAAGGGGTACAAAAACGACTGGGATACTTTGTTTTTGCAATGTCGACGACGTTTTACACTTGTACCGATGCTTTCGCGGGTTTTCTCCTCGAAAGGTACATTTTCGTGAGAGAAACAGCTTATAATTCTTACAGGAGATTATCTTATGTTATATCAAATGCTTTGGTCGCTTTACCGGGCCTAATTGTCTTAGCTTTTGCCTTTTCGACCACCACATTCTGGACAATAGGCCTCAAAGGCGGATTTTTCGGATTCTTATTCTATTTCTTAATCATATTTGCTTCATTTTGGTCCGGAAGTTCACTTGTCACATTTATCTCCGGTGTTATCCCACATTTGAGGTTAGGCTACCCGATCATCGTTGCCATCTTAGCAATTTTCTTGCTCTTCAGCGGCTTCTTCATCAACCGTGACCAAATCCCCACCTATTGGATTTGGTTCCATTACGTATCCCTCATCAAATATCCTTACGAGGCAGTTTTACGGAACGAATTGGATAATCGGACGGAATGTTTCGTTAGAGGGATTCAGATATTTGACGGCACGCCACTCGAAGCTGTTTCCGACGCCATGAAAGTGAGATTGTTGCAGTCGTTGAGCGATACTTTGGGGACGTCGGAGATTACAAGCTCGACATGCTTGACAACGGGAGTTGATGTTTTGATGAAACAGGGAATTTCAGATTTGAGCAAATGGGATTGCTTCCTCATCACTTTGGCTTGGGGATTATTTTTCAGGGTTTTGTTTTATTTCTCTTTGTTATTTGGAAGCAAAAATAAGAGAACATGAAAAGAATTTCACTTTAATTTCTTCAATTGAAATTGGTATAGTGACTATATTTATATATATTAATGGAAAATAATTGTTTTCTTTATAATTTCTTTTTATTTAACTTCTGAAAAATAGTTTAATTCTCTATGAAACCTTATTTTTAATTTCACGATTTTTTTGTATTTTCCATTACTTATAATTTCATTTTCCAATTAAGAAAATAATTTTATTCATAAACAAACTAAAACTTGAAAAGAACATATAATTTTTTTGAATATTTTTTTTACTAGAATAAAATCATAAGTTGTAATTTACACGATTTTATTCATTTCTCCAATAAGATTGTATAAATAGTGAAGCTGAGTTTTCTTAACTCTTGAAGTAATTATTTTTATTTTTAAGTTGAATATTGGGTGGATAATTTGAAGTTGGCTTTTCTTGCTTGTTAATTAATATGTCTTATTTTGTAAGAAATTTCTCATTTTTTTTAGGTTTATAGAGCATTGAAGTAGTGTTTTGTTTTTATGTATTAACTTCACAAAAACGATTGGAATTTTTTAAATAATGACAACTGGATTTTATTATCACAAATAAAAAAAATGAATCAAAATTACAACGCACCTAATTATATAGAGGAAAATAGGACAACAATCATAGAAAAAATTATACAAAAGCAAAATTACTAAACCCAAAAATACAAAGAAAAATTGAATATTCCCTTAAGAATGGCAGCCGACATCAAAAGAATTCAATAACTTTCGTATAAATATGTAATTTTATTTACGAGTTTTGAAATATTACCATGAATATAAAATCAAAGCCTAAAAAAAGAAAGAAAAAAGAAACCCTCATATACAAGACTTCATATTATGTAAATATAACTATTAATTGTACTGATCTTATTTATAGATTTTCCCTATAGTCTAATTTTTATTATTCTCTTAATGTTTTGAATTAAGTTTTGTTCATGTGTATGTTAATTTTGAAATAGCGTAAATTCTTTTCCTTCTATATGAAATAAATACATGAATTACATGCAAATTTTTTCGACATAATTCATATTATCATTAAACAAAGAATTTAAAATAAAACGAATCTATTTGTTGTTGGTTATTCTTTCAACCAGGGTTTATTGGCATCACACATTTGGGGTTATATTTGAAAGCATGGGAAAGATAGGTAAAAGTGGTGACTAACACCAAATCCAAGATGAGACCAATATTGTTGGAAGCGTAGATGGACTATTGGTAATTTATATAACTCAAACTATTATTGATACGAGGCAAAATACGTTACAACGACGTTACCCCAATATTATAACACTACAACACTAGTTACGGCTAGTTTACAAACACAACCTCGCTATTCTAAGCTTTACTCAATTCTCTCTAATAGCTTTTCTAAGCTTTCACTCATTCATTTTTCTTTCACTTATATTACATTCATATATCACACGCATATTTATAGCAAAAATTAAACCGCCATATATGCTTCTACATTCTTCTTGCCTCCTTGAATTTGCTTGTCGTGGTGGACTTTTCCTTTTCATGTTTGCCTTGGTTTGTATGCTTAATAGTTAAGCATGTTGTCTCATTTTCCATGTGATTGTTTCTACAATAGTCTTCAATTTTCCATAGTATTTATAGCCGTTTTTTTTTTTACTTTCAACTTTCTAAAAATCAAGTTTGATTTCTAACAAATATAAGCAGGAGGAGGCTGCAATGGTGGCATTCTGAGCGGAGCCAAAAACATCATAGCGACCACCACCAACATCACTGATACCTTAATCAAAATTTTCTATATTTTTTTCTTCACTAATATATCCTTATTTATTTACAATTCGGACCAGAAAAAGCTTCTCCGAATAAGCAAAAAATAAAATAAAACAAAATGGTATGTTTCTAATTTTTTTGGGTGAATTCCATGCAATTTTAAAAATAATTGTAACTAATATTTATTTTTCAATTTTTAAGCATCTAATTGCTTGCCTATGTTGATTAGCAACCACCATTATATAGAAAAACCTGATATTTTAGTCATCTTCTTGTATCCAGCTAATCCTAGACTTCTATCTAAAAAATGTTACTAAGCCTTTAAAACATCTTGCAGTTGATTTAATTGATTGAATTGACTTTTCTAGGGTGTTTTGGTTTATAGATATGATTTGAGTTGATACGGACGTTAGATCTTATATTAAGAGACGAACTTTTAAAATTTTAAGAGATGAATTTATAAAATTTTAAAGGAAACAAAAATAAATTATCACTTAAAAATATATACAAAATTCTAAAATATATATTTGTAACATCCTCAATATCGGGTTAGTGACTAAATTGTAAAATTTCAAAATTTGGTGATTTAAAGCGGAAAAGTTGAAAAGTTCAATGATTTATTTGAAAATATTTCCTAAAGGGTTGTTAGTAATTTTTAAAAGAATTAAAGGGCAAAATGGTCATTTGACTTGGAAATGATAATAAAATGATATATATATATATATATATAGGTGGGGATAAGATGAATGAGATATTTTCTCCACTTCTCTTCTTCATCTTCTTTCTTCTTCCTCCTCCACGTGAGAGCTCAAGCAAAGGTAAGATTTCTTCGTTGTTGATTATTAGCTGAAATTTAAGTTGAGTTTTGATCCTTAGATGATAATTAAGCTTAAGGAAAGCTTAATTTGTCTTAAAATCAAAAGATGAAGAAGTTATGAAAGATGAAAGGAAATGGGTTTTTAGGTGGAATTTTGAATAAGAAGGTTTAAATGAATTTGGAGGATGAATTTGACTTGTCATCTATGAGAATAAGAAGTTAGAAGTGTTAGAATTAAGTTTGGATAACATGGAAAATTTGGTATGATTCTTAGCTTTAAGAATTTGGATGAAATATGGGAGATTATAAAGTGTTGGAATGATAGAAATTAGTTAAAGTTGTTATAGATGAATTTAGTTGCATAATAAGGATTTTATACTTGAAAATTCGGGTGAAGTATTGATGATTTTCGGGTGAAAATAAACTATTCTGGACAGGTGCATTGATGCACTATGAATGGGCACCGATGCACTAAGACAATTTTGAAGGTGCATCGATGCATTAAGGGGGTGCATCGATGCATGGATATTTCGAAGCTATTTTGTGTACCGATACACCCATAGTGCATCGATACACTCCTAAAGGAAAAGTGAATTTTTGGTTCATTAAATTAGCCTAAATTAGTAATATCAAGTTATAAGGTTTAGGCTTCTGAAAACCGTCTCGAAATTATGTTTATGTAGATGTTGAGCCTAAACAAGTTCCGGAACAATCAAAGAATTAGGATTGAATCAAAGCAAGGCTAAGGTGAGTGCAATTTAATTTGTACTTATGTATTGAATAAATAGTGGCTTGCGATGAGCCAGTGATGGAGTTACTATGGTAAGAAGTAACTCCTAAAATAATATTTGATTAATGATCGATGTGATGAATTGTATGATTATGGGATATGTGTTATAAGACAATGATCTAAGTGATTACATGTATGTATTATTACATCTTGCTTGTATTATATGTTATGTGACACTGAACTACATGAATATAGGAATATGAAATAAGCTATACGATAGGTGATATGTGAATAACATATAAATGATTTATGTATAAGTTTATATGTTATTCTATGTGCTGTGTGATGTATATATGAACATATGTGAATAAGACATGACATATGTATATGCACAAAGGAGAAATAAAATAATCTATATGAAACAACCTACGTGATTCCATGCAAAGTGATATGAACTATGTGCATATGAATATACAATAAGCGATACATGTGATATGATATGAAACATATGGTAACACATACATGTGGTATGTGATAGAAGAGAAAGAATAAGTGATGTGAATATGTGAAATGTCATAAATGATACCATGTTATGTAATATGAGAGCTAGTGGTATAGTTGGCATGCCAAAAGTCGAGGGTTTACCTATGTTCTAAAGAACATATGGACAAAATTACCTATGTCTTTCGAGACATATGGACAGAATTACCTATGTCTTTCGGGACATATGGACAGTATATCTATGTTCTAAGGAACATATGGACAGTTTACCTAGGTTCTACGGGACCTATGGACAGTTATTGAGGTTCTTTATGACCTCTGGATAGGTCCTTCGGGACATTTATATGAGCTGTGGTGACAGCATAGTGGTGCACAACCTCAATGTACTCGCATACCTTAAGTTCTCAAAACTATACATGGGCTAATACATAGACTTTAAAGAGAGTAAATAAATCAATTGATATGATATGATATGTGTTCTGTTGTGAAATGATATATGTGTTATATATGATGAATCTATGGTAAGTAAAAGGGATTAATGATAGTATTTGCAGATGTATGCCTTTCGTTTATATAAAATGTTATATGGTTATATTATATGTTTTATATGCCTCACTAAGTCAACGACTTAACTTGTGATTGTTTCACGCGTAGGTTCCAAGAAGAGGAAGATTGATAAAAGTAATGCAAGATAGGTCAGTTTCTCATTTCCAAATATCAGATCAAAAAAGAAATGTATAGTATGTATTTTGTAATAAGGAAAGTGGTCGGCATGTAAATAAAGGATTAAATCCGATATGTTCTAATCGGTTTTGAAAAGTCATACAATTGAGTTTTGTAATGTTTTAAATGCATATATGTAATGGATAGATTTTATACGGATGAAAGCTTAGATTTTTACGAAAGTTACTGTAGCAGTACATTGATACACAATTTATATTCGCAATTTTTCACTGTTCATGGTACTGTTCATATCTTATAGTACTGATCACAAATACGTATTTTTTTCTTCAAATTTTTATAATGAAACATAATTTAATAGTATTCATTATATTTTCTTAATATAAGTTTAAATGTTTAGTTATTTTGTAAAGAAATTGTTTTAAAAAGTCAATATGACATCTCGAACTCGTATTCGAGTCAGGTACGGGTTGAGGTGTTACATTTTAATTTAAAATTTTCAGGATGCCTACCTTTA